AAAAAATGATAGTGTTCAATTAAAAATTAAATAAAATAACATATTTCATCATAAATCCACTATATACTTTATTGTGGCACTACATGACATAAATGACAAACTGAAAAGCCTCCAAATGCTTTTCCCTTCAGCAAATTGTGTTTATAAAGAGTTCATCTGGTCCCAAATGAGGCAGTGGTCATGTCCCCCTAGTGGTCTGGCTTAGTTACTGTTTGCAATCGATCTTTTCGGTGTTCCATGCATAATGTCTGTTATTTTGACAGGTAAAAGAATTGTACTTGTAAATTTGATTCGTACTTGTAATTTGGCAAAGTTGTAACCAATTTATGTAGGTTTATAGACTTACATGTACAAACTTAGACTGTTACACATACAATGATTCTGACAGTTCTCTTACCCCATAACCTCACTTCACCCTCTGCCCGGAAGACAAAACTGAATCGTTCTTCTCACTTTTCTTTTAACTGTTTCGGCATGACCAGTTACGTTTTATTCCATTTACCTGTCTTCTGTCCTTTGTGTCCAAGGTGTGTCCAGAGTAACATCGTCCTGCTCACTCAGGCCTTCAGAAAGAAGTTTGTAATTCCAGACTTCCAAACATTCTGTGCCCACATGGATGATCTATATGAGAATGCCAAAAACCTTTCAGGAGGCCAGGTGGGACACATTGTTTTTGTTGGTTTAAATCAGAAATTAAAATATTCACACTTTGTTTTAAAGAACAAAAACTAGTTTAATTTCAATCTAATCTAATGAGATAAATGTTTTTATGCATCATCACAGTAAGGCTCACATTGGTGGCAAAATCGACCTATGTAGCATGAAGTGACCTAGGATGACCTCTTTCTTAACCCTGAGGCTATATGAGAGTGAGAGAGAGAGAGAGAGTGAGAGTGAGAGTGAGAGTGAGAGAGAGAGAGAGAATTTTCTTCTTTCCATCACTTGAGTATGTTTGTACCATTTGCGTTTTATGTTTGTCCATATCTGAGAAACAACACAAAACTCAGAGCTAAGATTTGTAAAGCCAACATTCCAGAAAAAGTTACATAAAGAAGACAACGTCTTTTATCTGCAAGAAAGACCTTTTAGCTTGGAAACTTCAAGCCCAGTGGAGGTCTATTTTGCCAAACTGGACAGGAGATTAAAATCTCATTTAATCTTTATTCACCTTAGATTTACAACATCTGATCATCTAAGTATTTCTCATACCACACCCCTTTTAACAATTTTTAAGCATGGAAGGAGTTTCGAGAGGCCATGGAAAAAGACTTCTGTACGGCTTTGAGGCGATTCTTGTCCACCATACGGTTTCTCAGGGGTGGAAAGCAGTTTGCTACCCACATTTATGGTGGGGATCGTGCACTGCTGACCTGAACTTGGGACATTGTGGGTCGGTGGGCAGAATACTTCTAAGACCACCTCAATCTCATGGTAGTCTGAGTAGTCTTCTCATGAAGAAGCAGAACCTGGAGACCCTGGGTCGGACTCTCCAATCTCTGGTGCTGAGGTCCCCGAGGTGGTTAAAAAGCTCCTCGGTGGCAGGGCACTGGGAGTGGATGAGATTCACCCGGGGTTCCTTAAGGTTCTGGATTTTGTGGGGTTGCGTTGGTTGATGTAGCTCTACAATATTGCGTGGACATCAAGGGCAGTTCCCCTAGATTGTTAGACCGGGATGGTGGTCCCCCTATTTAAAAAGGGGGACTGAAGAGTGTGTTCCAACTTTAGGGGGATCACACTTCTAAGCCTCCCTGGTAAAGGACTATTCAGGGTTCCTGGAGGGAAGGGTCTGTCGGATAGTCGAATCTCGGATTCAGGGAGAGTAGTGTTGTTTTTGTCCTGGTCGTGGAACACTGGACCAGCTCTACACCCTCAGCAGGGTCCTGGGGGGTGCATGGGAGTTCACCTAACCAGTGTTTTGTGGACTTAGAGAACGTGTTTGACTGTGTCCCTCTGAGACTTCTGGGGGGGGGGGGTACTCCAGGAGTATGGGGTACCAAGCCCTTTGATATGGGCGGTTAGGTCCCTGTACGACCGATGCCAGAGTTTGGTCCACATTTCCGGTAGTAAGATGGACTCGTTTCCAGTGAGTTGGACTCCGCGAAGGTTGCCCTTTTTCCCTGATTACTTATATGGACAGAATTTCTAGCTGCAGCCGAGGTGTTGAGGGTATCCGTTTTGGTGACCTCAGGATCGCATCTCTTCTTTTTGCGGATGATGTGGTCCTATTGCTTTCATCAGATTATGATTTCCAGCTCTCACTGGAGTGGTTTGCAGCAGAGTGTGAAGCGGCCAGGATGAGGGTCAGCGCCTCCAAATCCGAGACTGTGGTCCTGAGCCGGAAAAGGGTAGGGTGCCTTCTCCGGGTAGGGAAAGAGATTCTGCCCCAAGCATAGGAGTTTAAGGATCTCGAGGTCTTGTTCACAAATGAGAGAAGAATGGAGTGGGGATCAATAGGTGGATTGGTGTTGCGTCTGCAGTGATGCGGGCGCTGTACCGATCCATCGTGTTGAAGCGAGAGCTGAGCCAAAAGGCAAAGCTTTCGATTTACCGGTCGGTCTACGTTCCAAACCTCATCTATGGTCACGAGCTTTGGGTAATGACCGAATGAACAAGATCGCGAATACAAGCGATCTCACCATAGGGTGTCTGGGCTCTCTCTTAGAGATAGGGTGAGATGCTCGGTCATCCGGGAGGGACTCGGAGTGGAGCCGTTGCTCCTCCATGTCAAGAGGAGCCTGTTGAGGTGGCTCGGGCATCTGGTTAGGATGCCTCCTGGACACCTCTCTGGTGAGGTGTTCCTGGCACGCCCCACTGGGAGGAGACCCAGAGGAAGACCCAGGACATGCTGGAGGGACTACAGTGTTTCCCCTAGGAAATTGGTGTTGGGTGGGGGGGGTGGGCTACTTGTTTTATGAAAACATAAATTTACGCGACTCACCTTCAATTATGGTAATAAATTTACACATACATGAATATTTAATTGCCTAACTACATCCTAAAGTTAAGGACTCCTCATGATAATTATCAATAATAATTTATCGTAGCAAATTATTATTGATAATAAATGATTAGAACTCTGTGCAGCAAATGATCTGAGTCCAGAATTCTCAGTTTCAAACCTTCTGGAGCTCTTCTGTGTGACTCTAGGTGTGACAGAGTGTGGAAGGTTGATTATCTCTTTGTCCCTGATGGAGACTGGAGACCTGTCCAGGTGTCTCTGGTGAACTGGAGACCTGTCCAGGTGTCTCTGGTGAACTGAAGACCTGTCCATGTGTCTCTGGTGAACTGGAGACCTGTCCATGTGTCTCTGGTGAACTGAAGACCTGTCCAGGTGTCTCTGGTGAACTGGAGACCTGTCCAGGTGTCCCCTGCCTTCACCCAAAGGCAGCGAGGACAGGTTCCAGCCCCACCCTGACCCTGATTAGGAACAAGGAGGACATGAGGAGGATTTTTCTTTATTGCAGGAAACAGACATTTAATGATAAAACATGATTTATTTTATGTTAATCTGAATCAGTTTAGTGCATTTTGTAAATATATTTGACAGTTTTGTAGGAATGAACACGTTTGTAATGTTTGTTCAAAATAAACCTGCTTCTTATGACTTCTGTAACATGTTTTGAATAAAATATTATCAGTAAAAACCTCAAATCATGTCCTTTCTAAGAATTAGAACTCTCTTGTAGATATAAAGGATAACATTTAGAAAATGCAATTATGCAACTATCAAAAAAAAAACCTTCCTCTCAGTCACTGAAAATAATTTATTTACCACATTTTAAAGACCGATTATTATCTGGGCCCTTAAGGGTTAATGCTCCAGAACGGGACTGTCTGTCTGACCTGCAGTGTGTGCGTGACAGGAGAGGAGTTCCATGTTTGAGTCCAGCAGGACCTGTACAGCAGCTGATTCTGTCTCGATTTGAGTTTAAAAACTACTCTGGTTACTTTTTTCAAAGTTGAGGGACATTATAGCTGCACTGCTGATCAGTGCTATTTATAGAACATGAACAGACTCGCAGGAAACTGGTCGCACGCAGGGTCTGTGTTGGTGATTCTAAATTATTGATAAGGTAACAATGATGTGGATTCACCTGTCGCATTTTATTTTAAAGAAAGAAAAAGTAGCTTGCAAAGCTTTCGCATCGGTGCTACGTGATTAAAAGCTGAGTTTTCATAGCGCGCGCACACACTTCTTCCTATCTTTGTGCGGACCACACACAGCGCTCAGCCTCGCTCTGTGCCGTCTTTTTTCCCCATGTTTGGTGAGAGGTGGATATGGAGGGACGCAAAAAATAGCTCTGGACTTGATCTGGACTTATTTAAATAAAAATGACAACATGCCGTGAAATTCTTAGAGGGGCGGGCCGTCTCGTTGGCGGAGGGGCCCGCCCCCTTGTATAATGGTAGGGGAAACACTGGACTATGTTTCTCAGCTGGCCTGGGAATGCCTTGGGATTCCCCCAGATGAGCTGGCCCCAAGTGGCTGGGGAGAGGGAAGTCTGGGTCTCTGCTTAGGCTGCTGCCCCCGTGACCCGACCCCAGATATGCAGAAGAAAATGGACGGACGGAGGGAGTATGGATTTGATTTATGCAATAACAAGTCTAATAATTATATAAAAAATCATTCTAAGGAAAATCTTATGGTACGCACAGTGAGTAGCCTACAGCCATACATCTGCAGGTGCCAGTTTTTCTGTAGTCTAATCCGTGTTCTGCTGCGACATTGTTGGAATAACAAGTGCCAATTCAGCCAAAGTTTTAAAATCAGAAAACATTTCTCCAGTCAAAATGATCAGAAGTCAGCAATACTTTATTTCCAAATCCCACAAGTTGTTGCTTTAGCAGAAAGAAATTCGGCAGTATGCACTCCCTCTGCATCACTGGTTCAGCTACGCCTCACAGATGCGTTCCAAAATCTCCTGTCCTTATCTCTTCAATGCGCTGTCAGCTCCAGGAGATGCATTCAGAATGCTGTCTAGATCTGAGATGATGATCAGATGGGAATCTGAGCGGAGGGGAGCCGTATCTAGTGTAAATTTGCACTAAGCCCTCTTCTTAAACCATCACCACCTCCCAGCACCTATCTGAAATTGGTTTATGATTATCTCTTATTATATTTTGACTAGGCATACCTATTTGAGATATATCTGATTATATTCTGTCTAAAAATAATTGTCAGATTCACCATAGAGTTGTATAGAGGCTCCAATTCAAAATTTCGGAAATAAATTGCTGACTATCTGAAACATTTCAGTTTTTAAATTATGACAAATTAAAGTAAATTTAAGATAACTCACTTTTTTGTTTTGTCTAGTCATAATTCCAGTTAAAGATATTTTAAATGACATCAGGTTTATAATATTGATAGTTCTTGGCAGTTTTTCTGACCGTTTTATTATTCATATCAATATCAAAATTCTATCCTATCAAGGAAATTAAGAGTTAAGTTGGCATACCAAATTTAGCCAAATCATCCAGCAATCCTTCAGCTAAAGAGCAGAAGTCCAGTTACTTTGTTTTTGTAAACTTTCTAAGTTTGTCATGCTCTGGTTGATTGAGAATTTACACTAGCATATTATGCAAACAGTGGTACGCTAACATGTTGGACCATGTCAGTACAACATTCAGCATTAGAGGATTGATGCTTTGGTTTTTGTCTTGCCTCTACTTTCAGTTGCTCTCGTTGTAGAAAGTGCAATTTTTCAAATGGTAAATGGACTGCAGGATTCACCCCCTCCCCCAGTTTCCCCCAGCTAAGCCTGATTATAAGGCTGCTTTGACAGCCCACCAGTGCCCCACTGTGTTTTCGTTAAAAAATGTTGACACTGAATTTGAAAATATGGCATGATTTAATCGTGTTATTGTTGACAATACTTCAAAATCAACTATAGTGGGGATGACCAACTTTTTGAGACTGAGAGCTACTCGGTGGTACAGAGGATCATGAAGGGCTACATGTTTAATACAAACATAAATTTACATGGCTCACCTTTTAACTATAGTATTAGTAATAATAAATTTACATATATGTGAATATTTGACTGCCTGATTACATCTTAATGTTAGAAACTCCTTTATAATCAGTAATAATAAGTTACTATGGCTGATATGACAAATCTTTATTATTAATAATAAGCATTTTGAACTCTGAGTCCAGTTCAAAAACCTTTTGAAGCTCTTCTGTGTGACTCTGTGTCCCTGTGATGGACTGGAGATCTGTCCAGGTGTCTCTGTGATGGACAGCTGTGTGTGTGGATAGAGCAGCAATGCCTGGGACAGGAAGCAAATCGAGGGGCTCTGTGTTTTCCTGTTAGTCAAGCACATTGCCGCTGTAACAGCACCTCCTGTTGCCTTTTATTTGGATATATTGTTGAACTCTTAAGAGTTTACCGATGACTAGGACTGTTTTTTGCATGCTGAGGGATGTTACGATGATTACAATAATTGAGAGTGCTGTTTTTAGCATGTGCTCGACGGGTGATGTCCACTCTAAGTAAAGGAATGATGCTTGGTCTGGCAGGGAGGCATGTAAAGCCTAGCGGCCCACCAAAATTGATACACATGCATATTATAGTGTAGCATGAGCATGAGCATAATGAGTGTGATGTCATGACTTCTTCTGGGCATGCAGGTCACTTCAGAGCCACAAACTGCTTACATTGGATTATGATTAAGATTGCGTTTAGATTATAACGTGAACAACCACAATAAAACAATAGAATCTGAGCAATAAATTGGATTTGAGCAAATGAGCAATTACATGCAGTGATAATGTAGGTTAAGAAATAAAACAAAAATTACTCTCAGGGAGGTTTTCGTTTATTTCTGCAGGTGCATTCACTCTGCAGGGCAAAGTTATTGTTAACATGAAGTCTCTAAAACAATGTTTTTAAAATTTTCACCTATAAAGAAGTAAACAACCTGGGACAACATTTTGTATTTTTCTTTCTTCCTGCTTTAGGTGGCAGACTACATTCCCCAGCTGGCTCGGTTCAGCCCAGACCTGTGGGGCGCTGCTCTGTGTACTGTTGATGGACAGAGGTATGATTTATGTGTTTGTTTATGTGAAACAAATGGGGGAGTGGTAATGCAGAGATTAGAGGAGGCAAACCTGTGATCAGTGGGTTTGAATCTCCTTATTGTTACCAAAAATCTGGGTGGAAAAGTATCTACTTCTACAACATACCTCCACCACTTATTCGACCTACTGTGGACCCTTGAGCAAGGCCCCTAACCCACCCAGCTGCTTCCCCAGATGCCTTAGATCAGGGGTGCCCAACCTTTTTTGAACCAAGAGCTCCTTTTGAAGTCGGCAGTTTGCCGAGATCTACTCGTCCAGTCTCAGGATCAAAAAAACATAATTTTTCGTCTCCCTACTCCTCACTTCTTTAAATAAAGCAGAATGTAATGTGTTGCTAGTTTTATTTAATTTAAAGTATTGTCAAACAAAACTATCTACTTAACCATATATTTACCTACAAAAGAAAAAAGAAAGAAAAGATAAAATCCTTACTTAACTCCTGACAGAGAAACAGAAAAGTGATGCTCGAACAAAAAGGATCAATTTTTTTACCTCCTTCAATTAGTACTCCCTGTAACGTGTGTAGGGGTCACCTCAAGTCAAATTATCAAGGAACTATCTTGGACTCTCAGTCCTCTGATGGACCTTCGAATGGACAAAAACTCTGTTCCACTTAGAACTGTATTTAGGCCACCCCAGGCCACTTTCCTTCTAAACCAGATAAAAACAGAAGAATCTTCTCTTATTTGATTTAGTGTTCTCTTAACTGAAAGTATTATGCATTTTGATAATCAGAGAATGTTTATCAAAGTTACAGGAGAAGAGAGGACAGATCTCTTTTCTCCCTCAGTATGATTTCAGCTATGTAAGGTTTTTCTGTGGGAAAAATTCTTATTTAGCTAAAATAATCTTTATGGTTTAAGTTGATGAAATATCAATGTTTTACTTGTCTGAATCATATTTGCAAATGTTTTGAAATTGAAGCAATTAATTTTTCTTTCAGTTATGTTTTAAAGTGCTCATCAGATAAATTAAATAGGTCATGAAATGTTTTGTTCTGAACCACACAGCAGCAGCAATAATCTTTGTTTTAGTTTCAGGAGGGCACAGCGAGTTCTGAAACTAACACTTTTCCTTGATAATTTCTTTTTCTAAACTAACCTTCTGGGGGGCGGACCATAGATTCTCTAAGCTTTTAGGAACTAACAGTTTCCGCCCGTCTAGTACAGAGAAAAGAAAGAGTGAGAAAAAGGTGACTGACTGTCAGTCACTGTGACAGCTAGATTCTCTCGGGGAATCAAAAGCTGAAACTATGTCAGGTTTGGCCCCTTCACGCCAACGGGGAAACCTCACCGTGTGGAAAACCAACGCCTGGTTTATCCACTTCAGAAACTCTCCAGACGGAAGTTTTATTTAAAACCTGGGTTCCAGTCGAGGTCTTGTCTTCTGGTTACTGCTGACGTGGATGCTAAATGAGTCAAAGAGCATGCCTTGGGGTCCCCTGTTCGACGGTCTAAAGACAGATTCGCCAGCAGCGCCCCCATCTACCTGGCAGGTGACAGAACATCATCTCAAGGTAAAAGCTGGCTGTGTGTGACCTTGAGGTCTGACCAAAGCTGAGCACAGAACGTTTCGCCCTTCTGGTTAAACCCACATTATTTAAGATAAAGTATAGAAAAGCTTACACCTTTCTTCAACCTTTTTCTTAACCTTGCCCTTGCCAACTCCTAAGATAAACAGCCTCAAATGTCTGGTGTTTAACATCTAATCTGACGTTTGTGTTTCTATTTAAGTGTTGTAAACAATTAAGAAGTTAAAAACTTGTTATTGTTGGTCCCAAAACTTTTTATATGAAATTAATTGTTCACAATCAGGTGTACTCTAGTCAAATTTGTGTTATTTGTAAAATAAAAACAATATAAATTAAATTAATTAAGTCAGATAAAATTAGAAATAAGTCCACCGCTCTTCTCCTCATCCTCTCCCCCTCCTGCCTGCTCTGTTATCTGCAGCAGACCCCCC